CACCATTGATTGACAACACGGCGACGGTGTCACAATAACCTGGCATTTGGGTATTCAGTTAAGAACAGTCACCTTTCCACTGTGAAGGTCGCTGTCAGACCAGGCGAGGCAGAGGAAATGATGTGTTACAAGCAAACAAACAAAATTGAGAGCCCTGAGTTGAAATTAATAAATGAGAGAAGACTTCTCACAGAAAAGTAGAGATTAATGTCTCATCCTTGCTTCACTGCTTCATTCACTTGATGATACCGTATTAAAAAAAAAATGCTCTGGTTAAACAAAAATATGCAATAAACTAATCCAAATTTTGTAAAAAGCACCTATCACGCAAGCTGCACTATGACCCCAACAGTCAATCCCATATTTGATGTGTATTATCCCCACAACTCCAATATTTTAGCTTCTCCAAAGTCAGAACAGCTTTCTTCCCACCAGGAGAGGATTCCTCCCATACACCTATCTGCAATTATCCCATAAAATGTATGGAAAAATAATTCTGTTTAGAAAGCTGGAGTTCCCAACTCTTACCAGACGTTGGCAAGCCCAATTCCACAATATACATAACAAAGCAAACGACAAAGCCTACAGCCTTTTAACACCAGTACACAAAGAAACACTTTCTTGCATTACTGGGAGTGTAATCAGTACCATGCTTTTTAAGCTTATGGGAAAAATGATCTATGAAAACAGGGGAGGGTGGGGGGGGGGGAGAATAAGTTAACTATGCAAATATGCCTAAAATGTATTGGAAAAATATGCATCATTTTAATGCCAGAAGACAAAGTTTGATATTTTCCTTTTATAAATAAACTTCATTTACAGCAGCTTTAATATAAGTACAAAAAGGAACAGCTTATTTTTATATTCAACCAGGCCACAGTCTTTCTGCGGGTCGTGCAAAGCCAAGCACCACTGAGAGAGACACACGATTTTAAGGCAGGTGAACTAAATTCAAGCTATAGCACCGGCTTGATGTTCCTGACAGACGCTACGCTGAGCAGGGTCTCCCAGAGCTGGCTTGTGCGGCACAAGGGCTGCACTCACAGGACAGCAAACCAGACAGGCAGCACAGGAACTGATCCTTCACCCCAAACTGAGCTCAGGCTTACGCGTCAGGAAAGCATCTTGGGAGTAAAAATGCAGGGTCTAAGCACTAAGCTTAGCCCCACTGAGAAAGTCACGCCACCTAATCCCCGTAAGCAGTTTCTGCATGTGGATCACAGAAATACAAAGTCTAAGGCCAACAAATCCCTCTTCCTTCCATTCAGAAAATCCTTCTCCAAACTACTAGCACTGCCTTCTGTAAAGGGAAGCAAGTATCCATCGCTACAACATTGGCTAGAACCCCCCCTTCACCCCACACGGCTGCGCTCCCGGTGATGCGGATGAAGTTTCCCCCTGACATCCACCGTTCCGCTACGGGCAGCAGGGCAGAATGGCCTCAGCCCTTTCACGTCCTCAAACTCATTCCTGAGGCTTTGCCTCCTTTCTGGTGAATAGGATGATGCCAAAGACTCTGGAAGGGGCTGCCCAGGGAAGGGGTCGAGTCCCCAGCCCTGGGGGGATTTAACAGCCGGGCAGAGGCGGTGCTGAGGGCCAGGGTTTGGGGGTGGGATGGCAGGGGTAGGGGAACGGCTGGGCTGGGGGAGCTTAAAGGGCTTTGCCAACCCAAACCATTCTATG